CGGTGTGTCGTTCTGTCCGTCCGGACCAACCGCTAACAAAACCAGGGAGTTCGAAGGGCTAAACTTCGTGATGTTGATGTCACGAAATATAATTGTTAATATGTTTATAATAAAACCTACAGCTGCTACGTAAACACCGATCGAGCATATTCAGTCTCATTACAAGTGGCAACACCACAGCGGAAGACGTGAAGCATACGCAGAAAAGCAACGTCCCGGCGTTGACGGGAGGACCAATCTGGTAAACCTATATTTTAAGAAAGTTGCATAATAAGATACACTGACTGAGTGAAAATGTGAAATATTATAACAAATGTAAAATGCATAATTTTAGTTGAGATTGATTCCACGAATTCACCATTTCATTGCTAGAAAATAAGTATTTCATAAAGGAATCGTTCATGGGAAGCCCTCCGTTCAATCTCGCCTATTAACTTAGCCTCATTTCTTCATGAACACAGTCGTTCGATTTGACAATAAGCCGAATAGCTGGGTAGATTATCAGAAATTCGAGTTACCGTCCCAAAATTGCCACAAATGTTTGCGGTGGGCAGCAGGGCCAACCTCACCTTGGTCCGATTACAAATTGTTATAACCCCTCCTCTTAGATAGTCTTGGTTGCCTCGATGTGACCCCCCGTGACAATTATTGCTTGAGTATACAAGGGGGGGGGCAGGGTCAACCGTCCGTTCGAACTGTTCGAACGAAGGGGTCGCATTTTGGTCGGAAGGGGGTCGCAATTTCGAGGACTGCCAGCCACAGGCGCGTGCGTGGCGTATCCGAGGGCAAGACTTGCTTGTGCAGACCGCATTAGATTCGATTATTATGCACAGAGAGACAGTTTTAGGCAAATTACGGTGTTTTCTTGAGGAATAAAGAACAGTTGAATGCATCCCTATGAAAGGTTTGACTTCTCGGGGCTGAAATTAAAGTTCTTCGGGACCTAATTTTCTGAGGACGATTCTTCCAGACAACGGTAAAACACATAAGAAAGCAGAAATCTCGTAGTCTTCAAAAATGTCTTCGCCCCTCCCCAACAAGTTCTTTGAAGGAAGTTATTATTGCTGAAAGCTCAAAAACTCGCATGTGCTGCTCAAAAACCTATGGGAACAAAATGTTCGTGTGATTTTCTCGGAAAATGGATTTTGAAAAACGGTTTGGTGCTTGTTAGAAAGAGCAAATCCTGTACTTTCACCCCATGAAAAAAGTGCATCACAGAAATGAAAATGAAGTGAGTTATGGTCGCTGAAAGCCCAAAAACTCGCTTTTGCACGAAAAATGTTCGAACGGGACAATTTTTTGAAAAAGGGGACAATCACTAAACTTTTTATACTGTTTTGTTAGAGAAATATTTGAAGTTTCTGAAACTTTTTACAGATTTCCAAAATGTCGCATACGAAAGATTTTATGGGCCTTCAAAGTTGAAGGTGCGCCTTCTTAGAATTTTGGGTTTTCCACTTCTAACAGAAGTACTTTCCGGAGAGTTAGGCAATCCTTGTAGTTTTCTGAAAGCGCACCTCAGGCACAATCAAAATCTACCTCAACAAGTCAAAAAAATACGTCCCAAGAAAGTTATTCCCCTCTAAAATTTTTTCTTCGCCGCGTCCCGTTCTTCCAGCGCCCGGGTGATACCTGCCGCGCTCCAAGGCTGACGCCGCAATGCAGACGCTTTCTGCAGACGCTTTCTGGCGCAACGGATTCATGTCTAGCACTCTTATTAACAAAAACAGGGGGTCGCAACTGGACCCCCTCGAGAGCTAGGGGGTCGCAAAAATCCCGAAAATGTTCGAACGTGACGGTTGACCCTGGGGGGGCGCAGGTTTCCTCGCCCATTGCGCACATTTTTTCCTCGCACACAACGTAGCCGTTTCAAAAAGTCTTATGCGAAATATTCCTTAGATGTCCCTCCATAAGCAGAAGCAGGCCCTCCTTCACTGCCTTCACCGTCTTCAGAATATGACGTCATCTGCCATCACCGTCGAGCTCAAGGAGGCCTACCGTAATCGCTCCATTCCTGAAGCTGCTACATAATTTCTTCAATCGGTTAACTGGTGAATAACTTTCTGAAGACTGTAGCTCTGCGTATGCGACTTTCCGACCAGCTTTCCAGATATTGTCTCAATGATTTATTGTTCATGGAACTGTGGAGCTTGTGGAGCTCGAAGCGTGTACCATGTTCCACGGAAAATTCTTCTGAAATCTTCAATGTAGAGGGTCGTTGTGATTGATGGAATGGTAGGTGCGAATCAATTTTCTGTGGGAGCAGGCGGTTTGTAATCTTTTAGCAAAGTGTAATTGAGTCAGTCTTAACGGCCTCCTGTAGATGCGCCATTGCGGCCACGGGGTAGCACTCGTCCAACATCTCGTCACTTTCCATCGCGGTCTTAGCCAGTGACGATTTTCACATATTCAGGCCCTCTATAGCGTTAACCATCCCCATCTTATAGTCATGGTGATCTCCGGGCATTTCGACGCAGACCCCTGCGCATGCAACCACCTCCCCCTTTCTGTCGGCCAAATACGATACCCCTGGTTGAACTTTGACCGACGGGACCAACGGGCGGTTGCCGCTGGTAGGCAGCCAAAACGTGCAAAGTTATTGGAAGCGTGGACATGAACGGCTTCGGGCTTTTACGTCTTCTATGACCACGTACAGCACATTTATGCAAAGAAGGCTGAACAGTGCCACCGTGAGCGATTTTTTGAACCTTCAATCTGACCTCAGTTAAGCAGCCTTGTGCAAGGAACATGTTGGATAGAAATGGATGAAACTCCCATTAGGTTTGGTGGTTCGTTTCCAAAAAAAAAACATATTTCATGCATAAAAACTTTTCAAACCTTCTTATTGCTGTAACTTTCACATTTCAATTCATTTAGCCGGCCATACCGTTTTCGAGG